GCAACCAACTGAAGGCTCACAAGGAGTGAGCTCCTCCCAAACAGAAGAAGCCTATGTCAGTGCAGTCTCTGCACTGGCTCGGGGCAGCAATCCCTCTGCCCACCTGTGACTATGCAGGTGCCTCTTTTACCAACTCGCTCCTGCAGGGCAGCAGCTTCCTGCCTGCCCCTGACCTGTCAAGGCCATGCAGGCCTCTTTCAGCAAACCTGTCTCTTCTGGGGCAGCTCCTCCTGCCCGCTTGTGTCTATGCAAGTGTCTTTAACTGTTTTATCCCTTCCCTAATAAACCTATTCTTTAAATATAACTACTGTCTGTCTCGTGGAGAAACTCGCGGGGAAACTCGCCATGTTCCCCTGATGGAGGACAAGAATAGAAAAAAAAAAAAACAAACTGAAAAGGAGGTGCGCCACAAGACCAGAAAGGGTGCACTGAAAGGGGAGCTCTGGTGAAACCTTTCCCAGAGTGAATCCAAGGACCTTGCACTCCAAGCCCACAGACTCCAAAAATGACAGCAGTAGCCTATAGGATTTTTTATTTATATTAAAATGTATTTTGATAACAACCCTATAGATGACACTAGTAAAATCTACACTAGTGTTTGGCATCCAGAAACATACTTTGAACTACAATTTCAAGATGCCAGGTGAGAATACTTCCTTTTCCATTTAATTCACACTCCATAGAGTTATAGAAAAAGGAGTTAACTCTGCCAGAGTAGTAATTTTCAAGTAAGTGACCCCAGGAACCACAAGATCAGAGTACCTTTAAGTTATTTGTTACTGTTTACAAAGCTTAGATTTTGTCTTAAATAAGTCCATCAGTTACTAAAGGGTTAAAGATGAGCTAGGGAAAAGGAGAGGGGAATTTGGAGGCCATTTCCTCAGGCTTTTAGCATTCCTGGCAGGTTGAGTCACACCAGTCTTTATTAAATGATGCATAATTCAGTGATAAATTGGTTTAGCTTTGCCTGTTACAAGTCAGGGCGAGGTTTTACAGGGGTCACTCTAGAGGCACTGTGGCTGTTTCATGTCATTAGTTTTCATTCAGTGCAATGTGTAACCACTCTAGCACATGTCTTTCATTAGTGGGTACAATGCACTCTTTGTGTGTGAACATCCTTAGATGGTAAAAGTCAATTTAGAGCTTTCCCACCTTCCTTTTATGTCAGTGGATTCCATCAGACCCACATGTGTGTGGAGCTAAAGGTTTTTGTGGCAGGGTTAGGCTCATTTCCCATTTGCATTGCATCCTGTCCAGCTGATCCAGACTAGAAGTGCTCTCTGAAGTTAATGGGTGTTGAGCACTGAGTAAGAATATAGTGTCAACTTGCCAAACTTCCTCCTCTCTGGAGTTGAGAAAGCTCTTATAATCCCACTTCCTTTATAAAACTTTCTTTGCTTAGTGGAAGACAGAGAGTGAATTATTTTCTTCCATTAACTCAGATCTATAACCTAGACTTTAGTTTTCTATCCTCTCTCTCCCACCTGCCCCCTAATGGTCCAAATACTACTAACCATGTATGTAGCTTTCGGTAAGGTTTCTCTGGGTGCAAGTAGCTACTTGCATGTTAATTAGTCCTGTGTGGGCATATCCATCAGGAATTACTACAAATCTACGGATTTTAAGCATTTTTAAAGAACATGTACACAAATGGAATTTTGTAAAATAGATGATCATGATTTCTATCTCACTCCTTTTTGGAATTCTATCTTCAGTTGGGATTAGATTTCTTTGAGGAAATAATGTAGCTGCAGCTCCGCAGCCTCTCTGAGCAAGTCAGTTAGTCAATCTTATGTCCTCAGTGTCTGAACCTAAATACCTAGTATAGCAGAAACTATGTGGCTTTGAGTTTGGACCAACAGAAATTCACTTCCGGGCTCACTCAGTTTTACATATGTAATATTCTGGTGTGATTAGCTGAGTCTCTGTTTTATATTCAAGTTCAAAAGTGGAGGTCATAATACTTTTCTCTCAGGGTTGTTTTAAAGATTAAATTGTTGTTTTAAATTGAACTGCAATTTCAAGATGCCAGTTGAGAATACTTCCTATGTGTATAAGAACTGGAGTTTCGCAAGAAAGGAACCTTGTCGATAAGAATGTATGTAAATATGCCCAGTTGACATTCATATGTAAATATGATAAACAGTTGACTTTCAGTCATTCATTCAATAAGTTAGTATTTTGAGTACCAGTACCAGGCACTGTTTAAGCATGGAGTATTCAGTAGTAAATAAAACACACACACACACACACACACATGCTCTTATAGTAAGATGAGGAATATACAACAGATAGTAGTATATTATGATGACCAGTAAGGTAAGTGCTATAGAGAAAAACAAAATAGGGTGAGTGGTGTGAAAATGCATGACAGTGTTAGTGTCATAAGATGGTCAGAAAAATCTTCTTTGGGGATGTGGCATTTGAACAAAGACTTGAAGTGGGTGTGAATAAACTGGGTGTACGGGGGAAGAGCATTTGAGAGAGTGGGGACAGCCGGTAGAAGCAGTGTGCTTGCATGCGTTTGGTCAGTGGGATGTGGGCACTCACAGTGGGAGATGCGGCAACAAGGCCTTTTTCACTTGGAACCTTTGGGCCATTGTGAGGACATTGGCTTTTCTGTGAAATGGAGAATAATTGGAGAGTTTTGAGTAGAGAGGTGATGTGATCTGATTTAGTATCATAATTTGAGTTCTCCTGGAAACAGGTTCTGATTGTGTGCAGTAGATTTATTTTGGAAGGCCTCCCCTGGTGGCACAGGCAGTTGAGTGCCACTTTTTGAAGCTATCTGAAGCCTCTGCAGTGCTGATTTGATCTCGGCCGGCTGGTGAGGGTCCCACATGGCGCAGCAGACCTCTCCTGTCTTGCCCGCTGCTCCCCTCAGCAGTGTATTTCGTCAGTCTGCCTGTTCTGTTCCCCGCTCTTTCCCTAGTGAATCCTCTCTCCCTCCCGTGCATCTGGCCTGTACCCCAGTTCTTGAATAAATAAATGAATAAATAAATCTTAAAAAAAAAGATTTATTTTGGAAATGTTCTCTGAAGTCACACCTCTGAGGAAGCTGGAGAGCAGAACTGACCAGAATGAGAAACTACATGTAATACAGTTATAGTGGAGACCTCAGCAGATTCACAAGAAGTCCTGGAGCTGGCACAGCCCGTAAGAGTTCATGCTTACTTGATGAATAAGGGTAAATATTTTATACCCTTACATGGACCAGTTATTGTTTAGAAACCACTGGCAGCCAAATGTCAGTTTCTGAGCTAGTGTAAGGTTCCATCCTAAAAGGGGCATCTGTGTGTACCCCATAGCATCCACTGCCCTTAGGTGTTTTTGTTTTTAAGACACATGGGATGACTTCTCAAAGTTTATTGAGCCAAATTTAAGAGAATTTCCAGAAAGCCTGTGCACCTGTACATTGGATTCTTATATCTTCAAACAAGATCAGGGTATCCAAATTCCTTTATGTACTTGAACACACTCAGGTATATCCAGAAACGTTTAGAAGGTGTTATTGGGAGAAAAAATTTTCCTCTACCAATTTAGGTCTAGATATCGGTGGGGGGGATATCAGACAATTTATTAGACAGGAGGAACCTTTACTCTACATGTAAGTGGGAACATGCTATAAGGAAGGAGTGGCTCTGTGAACAGCCAGGGGGTAATGTTTTATATACCACCTCAATGAGATGGATAGGAGACCTATCAGTACGGATGTTTCTGATAGGTCTTAATCACACAATTCCTTGGGTACACCTGATGCCAAGGCAGGCTCCTCCCCTACAGAAGTCTCCCTTGGAGAGGGTAATTCAAAGCAGATGAATTCTCAGAGAGGTCTGCTTTACTCATCAAAGGGAAGTTCAGAGAAGGCCATTTTCTGCTCTTGTTTTTTTTTTCCTATTTCTCAGTTTAAAGTAGACTTTATGCCATTCTGGTGAGGTTAGTTGCTTCCTTTCTGTTTGAAACTAGGGCATGGAGTTTTGCAGGAAAGGAACCTTATGTATTGCTGTGCTGAAAATCAGATGTGGCACTCAGACTTCCTGGCCTTAGGACCTGTAGGGGCAGGACTGGACACGGGGCAGGTTTTCTGATCCCATGCAGACCGGGTAAAGGAGGAGTCAGAGTCCTCAGTGGTTTTGCAGGTTTTTATTGGGGTTCAGCGGGTACGTGGCAGGCAGGGGTGCTGGGGGGCCGGGAGGCTGGCAGTCCTCCCAGCCCCCAGCAAATCTTCACTCTATCTGGGCTCTCTGGCGTTCTCTGCTTCTGCTTCGGGCTTCTTCTCTTTCAGCTTCTACTGGTGTCCTCGTGCCACCACCCTTAAAAGCACAGTCTTAGCACAGGTGTACCCACTTCAGGTGCCCGCCATCAGGCATGCATTCAGGATCACAGGGTTCCCTCATCTATCCTGATGGCGGGAGGGCAGAAAAGCCTGATTTTTTTACCTTACCCTACAGGACCCAGCTGGGTTCCGAATCTCATACAAAGTAGTTGCCACTGTAGGCACCCAGCTCCTTGGGACTAAGAGGTCTGCAACCCAATGAGACCTGGCAGCTGTCCCTGGACTCAGGATAGACAGCCACAGAAGGCTGGGACAGGTCAGGACAGTTTGATAAAAACTTAGGTTTATATCAAAACTGTGCTGTGGCTATGTTGAGAACATGTGGAAAGGGTGAAAGGAAGATGACTAGTTTGTAGGGTGTTACAAAAACCTGGGAGAAGGAAGATGCTGACTTGGGTGAGGGTGATAGCAGTGGAGTAGATGGGATGGTAAAAGATTCTGTATCTTAGCTGTCAGTACCAGGCTCACACCAGCAGAGGGACCTGGGGTGGTGTTCGCTTCCGCCCAAGGATGAGTCAGCGGAGTCTGATGCAACAGTAACCAGATGTTGCAAAAGCCACCTAAAGCGCAGGCGCAGGCTTTCCTATAATATAGCCCCTCCCCTCGGTAATAAAGTGAGTTCCTGCTTCCAGCCAAGTGAATGCACGCGTCTTTTCATCCCCAGCCCCTCCGCCGTGTTCCTGAACCCCGTCGGCCTGCGGGACGGACCGACAAGTGGTGCCCAGTGTGGGGCACGAGTACGAGGGATCCTCTGAGGGACCGATCAACCAGTAAGGTAAGGATTAGGTAAGTGATCGGCATCATGGGCAATACCATGTCCAAGGGCCAACTTGTTAGAGCCCTACAACTTCTGCTTAAACATTATGGAACTCCCATTAAGGTTCAGACCCTTCATAATCTAGTCTCAGTCCTCGCAAATACCAGCAAATGGTTCCTTCAGCAGGACACGGTTTCTGTACAAAACTGGGAAAAGGTCAAAGCGGACCTCCTTCTTCACAGGGACCTTTACGGACCCCAAACTATTCCCCCCCGTATTTTTTCTCTGTGGCAGTTAGTCCATGATGCCCTTAGTGACGGGGGAGCAGCTGCTTGTGAACTAGTGGCTGAGGCATTGCGCTCCGCGGCTCAGTCCGAAAGCGAAAAGCCTGCCACATACTCAGCCACAGCAAGCTCAGCCACGGAAACCCCCCCTTCTCAATCCTCAAAACTGGGGGGAGATTCCTCTTCAGACGAGGGGGATGTGGAGGACAATACAGACCATCCACCTCCCTATGATAGACCACCCCCATCAACCAAAAATCGGCGGTATCCCTCCCCCCACACTCTCCCCTCTGCCCCTCCACTCAACTCCCATGGCTCTGACCCAGACCTTCCTGGGCTTATACAGTCCCTAACTTCTGTTCTTTCGAGATTTGTACCCTCCAACTCTGAAAATTCTCGGGAATCCCTTCTGGCCGGCCTGGTCTCGGTTGTTCAAAATGCTCAGGGACAGGCGTTCCGGCAACATTCGGCACTGCCTTTCCGAGACCTCAAGCTCTTAAAAGAATCTATCAAAGACTATGGACTTCAGAGCCCTTTTGTTCACCAAATGTTAGACACCTTTGAAACCTTTATTATGACACCCAATGACTGGAAGGACACTTTCCGCGCGGTTTTGAGCCCGGGGGATTATCTTTTGTGGAAGGGTCAGTTTACGGAACTCTGTGACCAGTATGCTCAAACCAATCTTCAAAGAGGTTTTCCCCAACAAACTAAAGAAATGTTAACCGGGGAGGGTCCCCATTATAGTACTAACCAGCAACAATGTTTGTATAATCCTGCTGTTTTTGCGCAAGTGGCCTTGGCAGCAAAATCGGCTTGGAAGGCACTGGGATCCAGGGGACAGCCTCACCAATCCCTTACAAAAATCCTCCAGGGCCCCTCAGAGCCATTTGCTGACTTTGTAGCTCGCCTTCTAACAGCCGCCTCTCGAATTATGGGTGAGGGCGAGCCTACCTCTATACTAGTCAAACAATTGGCGTTTGAAAATGCTAACAAATGGTGCCAGGAGGCCATTCGCCCATGGAAGGATAAACAGGATATTTCTGGGTACATACGCTTGTGTAAGGATATTGACGGGGCTACCGTTACAGGCACCATCATGGCGGCGGCTCTGCAGCCGTCAGCCCAGCACGCCACACGCAGTGGTACCTGTTTTGGGTGTGGTCAAACAGGCCATTTCCGCAATGAATGCCCCTCCTGCCCTAATAGTTCCACTTCCAGGCCACAGCGGGGTGCCCTTACACGTCCACGATCTCCCGGTCCCTGTCCTCGTTGCAAAAAGGGCCTCCATTGGGCTAATGAATGCCGTTCAAAATTTGATGTAACTGGCTCACCCATAACTCCTTTTCGTCAGTCAAACTCGAGGGGGACTCCAAGGCCCCAGGCCCCCCTCTCTCAGGGGCCGTACAATCAAGTTCCACCTCCAGTTTCTTATCACCTTCCTCAGAATTACATGGCGAGCCAAACCCACCTTCCTACACTGCCATCTTACCAGGGTGCTAACCCACGAGGTCTTATTCCTAATCACATTTGGCAAATGGATGTCACTCACATTCCTCATTTTGGACGCCAATCCTTTGTCCATGTCTCCATTGATACTCACTCACACCTCCTCTTTGCATCCCCTCATTCGGGGGAGGCGACCAAGGATGTTATCTCACATTTGTGGCAGGCCCTTGCGTACATGGGACGGCCTCGTGTTATCAAGACAGACAACGGCCTGGCTTATGCTAGCCGATCCTTTGCCTCCTTTTGCTCTGACCATAATATCACTCACATTACAGGTATTCCTTATAATCCTCAGGGACAAGCTCTCGTAGAACATGCCCATCAACACTTAAAAAATCAAATACAAAAACAATCTAATTCCACCCCACCAGACCCTCACATTCGCCTGTCCAGGGCTTTGTTTACTATTAATTTTGCCTCCTTGGACACCCAAACTAAATTAACAAGAGCGGAGGTCCATTGGCAAACACAGGCCAACCATTCTATCCGCTCAGTTGTTTGGAAAGAGCCCCACTCCCTTCAATGGCAACCACCAGCTCCGGTCCTCGCCGAGGCGCCCGGATCCCTTTGTATCTTTCCTCCAGGTCAACCTCAGCCTCGTTGGATCCCTCTTCGGCTGACTTGCTTACTTCATAGTCTTCCCTCTGATCCGCCCAACGAAGAGGCCCTCTCCAAACCTTCTGAAAATGATCCTGCACCTGCTACTACTCTTCCACCTCCAACTGCAAGCACCCCCCCTCCTTTGCAACATGATTCATTGGACAATAGTAAATAATCCCCCTTTCCTTCTGCCGGTTTCCAGAAAGGGGGGTCTTCTCCCGTCATTCTTGTCTACCAGTTCCACCACTGGACTCCCTTCTATAGTATCTTTCAATCTATCATTCAACAATCAATCCTCCCTCAATTGTAGCTGTCACCTTTCCTCTTGTTGGTCCAGAACCCTCAGCAATTCCTTTGTTGTCATGCGTTTCCTTAAGGTCATTATGCCTGTCCATGTGTCTGAGTCTACTTCTCAGGTAATCATCCGAAATCGACAAGCAGGTCTGGCATTAGTTGTTGCCGCCTTGATCTCCGTCTTCTCGATGCTGGCAGCTGCGGCCGTGGTGGTTGGCGGCCTAGATCTATCCAACTTCGTACTCAACGCAGATACCATCAACCTTCTCTCAGAAAGAGTCTCCAGCGCCTTTCTCACACAAAATTCCATCAACAATCATCTCGCAGTCGGACTACTCCAGAGTCTCCAGCACCTTTCTCACACAAAATTCCATCAACAACCATCTCACAGTCGGACTACTCCAGTTGAATCAACAAGTTTCCTTAATACAGGAAGAAATTGACTTATTGACTTTAACTGCTCATGTTCCTTGTATTCCTACCTATGCCTTCACGTGTGTTACACCTGCCATCCTTTCCAACTATTCCTTTCAAGTTCATACCCTTAATGCCTACCTGCGTGGCCCGTGGAACCAAATCTTTCTCAATTTTACTGCACAATTGGCTAATCAAATTCTAACCATTAACAACATCCGTGCTTCTGTATATAATCCTGATCAGGCCCTCTCCTGGCTTTCAAAGGCCTGGGGACTGACAAAATCCTTGGGGGAAGCAATATCACTCCTAGGTACAGTCCTCTTCTGCCTGGAAATCATTTTCTACATCCTGTGGTGCCAGTGGAATAGATGAAAAATCTGCGAGTAGCTCTCTAAAACGTGCGCTATTCTCCATTACAGCCCACTGAAAATCCCAGGGTGTGGATAAACATTGCCCTTGACCACCTGTAGGCCAATGACGGGTAAGATGGTGGTGTACCCGTAGCAACCTAAGACAGCTCCACTACCTTACCTAGGATCCTGGTAGTGGGTGGCTATGACGGGTAAGCACGTGCGTACGACTGCCACAACCTAAGACAGGCCTGGTGTGTGTCCCCCCCATCAATAAAGTAAAAACGGGGGAGCTGTCAATACCGGGCTCACACCAGCAGGGGTTCCTGGGGTGGTGTTCGCTTCCGCCCAAGGATGAGTCAGCTGAGTCTGATGCAACAGTAACGGGATGTTGCAAAAGCCATGTAAAGCGCATGCGCAGGCTTTCCTATATATAGCCCCTCCCCTCGGTAATAAAGTTAGTTCCTTCTTCCAGCCAAGTGAGTGCACGTGTCTTTTCATCCCCAGCCCCTCCGCCGTGTTCCTGAACCCCGTCGACCTGCGGGACGGACTGACACTTAGCAGTCTGGTTTTGAATGGAATGGTAAAGGATATGTTGATGAATTGCAATGTAGGCTGTGAAAATAAGAAAGGAATCAAGGATACTTTCAAGATTTTTGACCTGAACAACTGGAAAGAGAAATTTACTAAGTGTTGGTAGGCGAGTGAGGAAGACTATGAGAGAAGCAGGATTGCTTAAAGGGGGGGGGGTGGTCAGTTGATCAATTTTAGACATGTTGAGCAGAGATGCCTTGTAGATGTCTAAGTGGGTATGTTGAGTAGGAATTTGAATATAAATTTTGATCAGGAGAGTTATTTTTTGAATCCTTGGCATGTACATGGTATTTAAGACTTTAACAGTGGATGAGGTCACCAAATGCAGTAAATGCATAAGAGAATTTCTAAGGACGATCCTTTGTCCATCTTTATGATTAGAATAAGCTCTTTCCTTAGACAAAGAAGACTGGCTCTTCTTCTTCCCCCAACAAGTTGCATTGGTTGCTTTACTGAGATTTTGTAGTAGATAAAGTAGTGGTTCCCCAAAGTTGTCCATGCCCTAATCTCTAGAATCTGTGACTATGTTGGCTTATGCGGCAAAAACAACTTTGTAGATGTGATTAAATTAAAGAATTTAAGATGAAGATTACTCTGGATAATACAGGTACATAAAATCGTAAGGATTCTTATAAGAGGAAGCAAGAGGATCTGCGTCACAGCAGATGTGATGGAAACAGGTTAAGAAATGTTCTTTGAAGATGGAGGAAGGAGCCACAAGGCAAGGAATGCAGGCAGCCTCTTATTATACCTGTCCATCCATCCATTCATTCTTCTACCCACCCATCCATCCATCCATCCACCCACCCACCCACCCACCCACCCACCCACCCATCCACCCATCTATCCATCCATCCTTCTCTCCCTGGTAAATATAAAGGCAAGGAAACATTATCCCCTAGAGTCTTCAGGGGGAATGCAATTATGAAAACACCTTGAATAAAATCCATTATAATCTCCAGAACTGTAAGGTGATAAAGTTGTGTTGTTTTACATGTGGTAATTTATCACAGCAGTAGGAAATTATTAAACTAAATACAATTGCCCCGTAGTGGCTAACTTGTGTGTTGGAGAACTAGGAATAGGTAAATTCTTAGGCTCTAAAACACTGATGTTTGATTGTAATGAGAATTCCTTTCAATTATTCTACCTATCCATCCATCCATCCATTCATTTATCTACCCACCCATCCATCCATCCATCCACCCTCCCACCCACCCACCCATCCACCCATCTGTCCATCCATCCTTCTCTCCCTGGTAAATATAAAAAATCCATAAAATATTATAAATCACCCAGTTCTTTTACCACTTTTTAAACATGAGGTTTATAACATACTGGCTAAAGGTCTCTACTTCGTACTTCCTATGTCTTAATTTTTTAGTTTGTTTTTATTTGTTTTATTGTTATTTTTATTTTACTTCTCAAGTTAAGTATTTCACCATCTGTGTAGAGTATGCTACAATGACCACTGAAAGTCTAGTTCCCACTCTCTTTTAAAGATTCATTTCACAATTAAGGGTGCAGGTGGATAAATATCTACAAGAAAGAGAAGTTTCAATAAGCTATTTTGTGTTTCCATTTGGAAGCTAGAGATCTACGAAAACAAACAAAAAAACCAGTGGTATAATGCAGTCCAAGTCTGAAGGTCTAAGAACCAGGAACATTGAGGGCAAGGAAGATAGATGTCCCAGTTTAAACAATCAGGCAGAAAGGGCCCAGTTCTTCATTCTGCCTTTTGTTTTAATCAGGCTCTCAATGGATTGGATGATGCCCATCCAGGCTGAGGAAGGCAGTGACCATCCAGACTGGGGAGGGCAAACTGCTTTACTGAGTCCATTGATTTAAATGCTAATTTCAACCTGAACCACCCTGGCAGACACACCCAAAATAATGTTTAGCCAAAATCTGGGCACGCCGTGAGCCAGTCAGGTTGACACATATAACTAACTGTTAAAATATATGAGCCGGTGTTTGGAACATAGTAAACACTGATGATACTTACCCTTATCCTTCTATAACCACTGGGTTAAGAATTAGAAACAGCAACACCTGATGGAGAATCTTCCTTGTTTATGTCCCTGTGCTCCCTTGTTTTAATAATCTGTTTATCAAGCCATCAGTATTCTGCTGCCAAAAGAATTTATAAGCCAATTAACCCTGGTGGCCAGACATTTCCAGCAGCAAAACATTGTCCTACATGTCACAGCCGGTGCAGGGAAGGAAGAGTGCATGGCCTCCAGAGGCACATTATCTGTCAGCCCCTTTACCATAAAATGTGCTATGGCTGTGAAACATACCTTGGTTATATTTTTATTTTATAGCACCCTGCATTGACCATTTTGCAGAAATAATGATGATCTCCTTATCAGCTCATCTGCTGCCAGTCAGTAATTTATCTGAAAGGATTCTTGCAGCATCAATATACAGTACAGGTCTAGGTGAGGCATCGGCTGTAATAACAGTGGCCACAGTGCAGCAGACAGGATTTAATGTACCCATAGCTTATACCAGACAAATGGATGCTAAGCAGTGTTTGCTTTTTTCTGGAAGGGAAAACATCTGGAACTATGTGTAAATTGTTCCCAGGAGAAAACATACCTTTGAATTTCTATACAAATTTGAATGCTGATGTTCCTTTGGAAGTCTGGCTTGTATATGTATTTAAACCCATGCTTTTGTTTGTTTATGTCTTAAGAATGATTCTCCATAAAAATGGAGCCTGGCATAATATAATCAGGTATATTTAGTAACTTCTACCTCTGTAACCCAGGCTAAATGGTTAAATTGCTCTCAGACCTAAAAGAACACAAAAGAAACAAACTTACCTTGTTACAGAGGCAACTTCAAAGAAAAGGGAAGGAACATTGTAGAGCATTGAATGGCCTCCATTTTCCCTGCCCCTACTTACATGCAGCCACCTTGGATTCCAATCCCTGTATGCCATGCTGAAAAGGGGAGTTATAGGGAACAAGGACGAGCTGAGTGGACTATCTATCACTAAAGTCAGGTACATCCTGACATCCGTGGCCTGACTTGTTCTCTGGTACTGCTGGGAAGGAGACATGGAAGATGTGTGGAGGGGAGATATGTAGAGAAACTTGGAAGAGACCTGGTCTTGGCAGAGACAATGGCAGTCATTGTCGTATTTTCATGGTGGATTATTTACACAATTTGAATTCTGATCTTTCCTTTTGTCCCAAGACCTGCCTTACCACCTTCCTATGGGTCCCCACCAGAAACTGCCTGAGATTTGTGGTAAGCTGCCATTACTCAGTGGCTCCTTTACCACTTCTCTGTCCCTGGCCCCACCCTTCTTTCAAGTTTCCTAATACAGGCACTTAGGAAAAGAATTCAAATATGTTACTTGAATCTTGATTTTCATTAGGAAATTGATCAGCTGTTCTGTCTCATACTCCATGGTTACCTTTTGTTCTCCTTTGGATCTGTTTTCAAGTCTAGAAGAAGCAGTGGAATTATGAATTGTAATAGGGAAATTTAAAGAATGGTCTTTTACTGTCAAAG